GCACTAGAGTGTCTCCAAATTCATACTGAAACAATTACTTATTACGAATGCAATTTGAAGATATTGGTATAAAAATAGGTTTTTATCAGTTAGTCCTAAGACCACTTGTTTTGGGGGTACCTGGGTGGGTCAGTCGGTTAAGCATCTGACTCTAGATTTCAGCTCAGGTCATGATGTCAGGGTTGTTAGACAGCACCACGTTGGGCTCTGCGCTGAGCCTGAAGCCTGCTTAAGATTTTCTCCCTCTCCCTCTCTCTCTCTAAAAATAAATAAATAAATAAAATATTTAAAAAAAAAAAGAATGAGGGGCGCCTCGGTGGCTCAGTCGTTAAGCATCTGCCTTTGGCTCAGGTCACGGTCCCAGGGTCCTGGGATCGAGCCCCATGTCAGGCTCCCTGCTCGGCGGGAAGCCTGCTTCTCCCTCTCCCACTCCCCCTGCTTGTGTTCCCTCTCTCGCTGTGTTTCTGTCAAATAAATAAAATCTTTTTAAAAATTAATTAAGTAATTAAAATTTAGAAAAAAGAATGTACCTCGGGGCGCCTGGGTAGCTCAGATAGTTAAGCATCTGCCTTCGGTTCAGGTCATGATCTCCAGGTCCTGGGATGGAGCCCCAGGCGCAGGCTCCCTGCTCAGCGGGGAGTCTGCTTCTCCCTCTCCCTCTGCCTCTCCCCCTGCTTGTGCTCTCTCTCTCTCCCTCTCAAATGAATAAATGAAGTATATTTTTAAAAAATACATCTTAAAAAAAAGACCACTTGCTTGCACATACTCTCAGAATTTTATTTTTTCTAATTCATATAGTGGGCCTATGTTTTAGCCCAATTTACTAAACAACAAAGTGTAGGGGAGATTGAGTGTTCTTGCTTTTATGTGGTAGGTGTAAACCCAGGGCAGTGAGAGGGAGGAGAAGCAGAGAAGAATGGGAAGCAATGCACAGGTAGGCTGTATGGGAAAGCTGTGCCACAAGGTAGTCAGCCAATGAAAGGGAACAATGTGGTTCAGGGCGGGTCACCCCAAAATATGTCACTTTGACATATTGATTATTTTGAATTAAAGTTACCTAAGAAACAGCTGGTACAAGAAGGCCCTTTTGTCCCCCTGAAAGCAGGAAATAAATTCCCCATGTGAAGGCTACCTTCCCTGCACCTGGAAGGTAGAAAGCATCCTTACCACCACAGATAGGGAATTCAGGGCCAAGAAGGCCACATAAACAAACTTGGTTACTTCTTCATTTATTTGCTGCCCCAAACCCAAAACCTTTTGTCAGTTCTTCACAAATAATTGTTTATTTGTTTAAAAGGTATAAAGGCTGCCTGCTTTGGTCACTTCAGGGAGGCTCATATTTTTATTGGCTCCCTTATGTTTGAAATTAAATTTGTTTTCTGTTTATCTGTCTTATGTCAATTTAATTTTTTTTTAAGATTTTTTATTTATTTATTTGACAGAGAGAGACACAGAGAGGGGGAACACAAGCAGGGGGAGTGGGAGAGGGAGAAGCAGGCTTCCCGTGGAGCAGGGAGCCTGACACGGGGCTCAATCCCAGCACCCTGGGATCATGACCTGAGCCGAAGGCAGATGCCCAATGACTGAGCCACCCAGGCCCCCCTCAATTTAATTATTAGACCAACCAAAGAACCTAGAGGGGACACTGCAGGTTCTGATGCATGCTCCAGGCTGTTTGGGCAAGGAATTTGGGGGTCCCAGGAAGCCAAAGCATGTTCCAGAAGGGGGGGCTGTCCCAAGAAAACCACAAAAGAGCATGTCTTTTGTAGGTAGTTGAGTGCAGTAGACTGGATCTGCTCGATTTAGGCCTGGAGGCCTTCCCAAGTGCTTCATGTCAGCGGTGGCTGCACTGTTCGTTATCTGCAGATGGTATACTGGCCTTTGGTGTGAGTGGCTAGGAGAGATTGAAGGCTTTGTTTGTTATGCAGCAATTTTTTGTTTTGTTATTCTATTATGTAAATCTAGCCAAGGAATTGATTATTGACATTCAACAGTTTATACTGCAGGGTTTATTTTTAGCAGAGAATTGCTAAAGCAGAATGGTGTGAAGATGTTAGGAACTGGATGATGAGAGATTACGAGGGAGGTGATAATTATAGCTTCACTTTAAATTGTGTGTTGCAAAATACCTGCTTTGTTTCTCTTGTGGATGAGGAGGTAGGGAGGATTTGAGGATTTAGCCAGTCTCTCAACCTAATTTCTCGGGAAGAGTTCTTGGAAATCATTCATTTTTCTTGCATGAAATGATATCATACACTATTATTTTTTAAGTGACTCTACACCCAACATGGGGCTCAAACTCACGATCCCAAGATCAAGAGTCTCATGCTCTACCAACTGAGGCAGCCAGGCACCCCGATATCATACACTATTTTGATTACAATTTATGCCATTTTGTTCTTTAATCTGAGCAATTTATTGTATCTGGTGAGAAGGTAGTTAGTTGCTTATTTTATACCCCTTAACTCACAAATCTAATTTTTTTTTAAGATTTTATTTTTATTTTATTTATTTGACAGAGAGAGACACAGTGAGAGAGGGAATACAAGCAGTGAGAGTGGGAGAGGGAGAAGCAGGCCTCCCGCCGAGCAGGGAGCCCGACGTGGGGCTCGATCCCAGGACCCTGGAATCATGACCTGAGCTCAAGGCAGATGCTTAACGACTGAGCCACCCAGGCGCCCCTCACACATCTAATTAAACGAACAGAACAATTAGCAAATATATCTCACACCACTTTGGAAAGAAAAAAAGACCTTTACTGAAAGCCAATTCTGAGTCTTAAGAAATGAATTGCCCATAAATTGAAAGACTCAAAGGAGGAAAGATTTGAAAGCACAAAAACAAGCCTGTACAATTTATTTGAGGTCGTCAGAAGAGAAAGCTCTGGGACACCTGTATGTCAGCCTGTATGATGAGCTATACAGACTCCTTATGGAGAATTTTCACTACAAAACTGTTAATAAAAGAAGCAATTCAATATTATACCTTCCATTTTTATGGCATCTTACTACAAATATACTTGGCAGGTTATGGCCTTTATTTCAGAACTTAAAGCTTCTACGGGATGGCAGTTGCCTTCATCCTGCTCAGAGGCCCAGGGCAGCCAAGGCTATTATTGCTTCTACTGTCCGTGTGGAAGGGCGGTGAAGAGAGATGAGGGTGCGTGGCTTACCAAGTGAGAAGTTCATCTCACGCTATCTCTGTTTCTGCTCAGACAGTGTTCTCTCCCTGTCACTTCTATTCACCATATGACCTTAGGCAAATTACTTAGCATCTCTGACCTATAGTGTCCTACTGTCTAAAAGGGAGATAATTGACCTACCTATGGCCAATAAAAGGATTCATTGAAACAATTTGCACACACTTTTGGCAATTAGAGGGCTCTTTTTTTTTTTTTTAAGATTTTATTCATTTATTTGAGAGAGAAAACGAGCAAGAGAGAGGAGCAGGGGGAGGGACAGAGGAAGAGGGAGAAGCAGACTCCCCACTGAGTGGGGAGCCTGATGTGGGGTCTGATCCTGGGACTCCAGGATCATGACCTGAGCTGAAGACAGACTTAATTGACTGAGCTACCCAGGCGCCCCACTAGTGGGCTCTTTATGTGTAAGTTTCCAGCTACCTCATATCTTTTAAATATAGGTGGAAAGGAGGAGCCACACTGTTCCTACCTTGTTATCTTTATTGCCTAGAAAGTCAAGATCACAGCGCAGGAAATAGCACAAAATCTAGTGTCGAAATTGACAGAGAGCCAGGGATGGGGGAAATGACTGTACTGTTCTTACCTGAGACTTATTTAAATCTAGCGAAGCAAAGTTCTCAAAGGAATAAGCAAGATTTTTTTTAAATTTTAGATATCTTTTTAATTTTTTTTAACTACTTAGGAGTTTGACTTTATGAACACTTTTTAGAAACAATCTTTGCTCCACACTTTAAGGGATACTTTAATGACACCCTCGACTTGGCTGACACTATCATGTAAAAAAATGTATTGGCTAGAATGTGATGTCCTTGGCAACTAAAAATAGCCTGCTGTCTGTCCTTTCCATGGCTATGCTGAAAGACTCCTTTCAGTTCTCAAAGGTGTGTGGTCACTAAAACACGAACAAAACTGAAATGTTTGAGCCTGACGACTTTAGCTTGAGGAATTCAGAACACATACTTCTTACAGCTGAGATGGTGCCTTGTCCATCAGGGCACTACAAATATTAATAGTATAGAAATAAGCTTTCCTTTATCAAACAGCATACTGTTCAAAACTTATTGTAAGACTAAAGTAAGTTTTTCAAATTTGTCTACATAGAAAAATCTCAACATCAGTGATTCATATAACGTCTGTGTATATTTGAGACTCAACTAATTACGAATGTAGGAGAATCACCTAAAATTTGGTTTTCTTTTCTGTAACAGAAACCATAAACATGGCCACCTTATTTCATATCTGTGAATACTATGATTATTCCAAATTTTAAAAATCTATCAGGTCGGGGTGCCTGGGTGGCTCAGTCATTAAGCGTCTGCCTTCAGCTCAGGTCATGATCCCAGGGTCCTGGGATCGAGTCCCACATCGGGCTCCCTGCTCAGTGGAGAGCCTGCTTCTCCCTCTCCCTCTGCCTGCCACTCTGCCTTCTTGTGTTCTCTCTCTCTCTGTCGAATAAATAAATAAAATCTTTTAAAAAAAAATCTATCAGGTAATAATTATGGGGTAAATGAGTAAAGCTTTATTGATAAAGATAAGGCCTCATTTGAGTTTTGTTTCCTTTCCAAAAAGCACTTCATCTGATGTAGTTCCAGATTTTTCTTATTCCTTTTTGCTACCTCAATATGGTATACCAATAATTAGAAGGATAAAATATGGTATTAATTAATGAGGGAATTGGACTCCATAATTTCTAATATTTCTTCCAGGTCTAATATTCTAAGATTTATTATAATCAAATTTCATAAATATAAAGAAAGTTAGAGGTGAATAATAGCATCATAGAAACAATGAACTGAAATACCTGAGGTGTAAAATCCTTTCTGCAATCCAATCAGGCAATGCTTTCTTGATGTGTTGAATATATCTGGAACTTCATTATTATGAAGTGAATTATAGTAACTCCGAAGAACTGAAGTCCCTAGAGCATAAGCAACACACTCACAGTTAACGTGTCAATCCAGTGCACGTTTGTTAAAATTATCAAGTATCAAGAGAAAAACCTTTAAATAACTTTATTAGATCTTATTTGCCTATCTTAGTTTGGGCTACTACAACAAATACTACAGAGTAGGTGACTTAAACAAAAGACATTCATTTCTTATGGTTCTGGAGGCTAGGAAGTCCAAGATCCAGGTACAGCAGATCTGGTGTCTGGTGAGAGCCCTCTTCCTGGTTTGCGGATGACAGCAATATTGCTGTATCCTCACCTGGCAGAGAAATAGAGATCATCTCTCTTGTGTCAATATTGCTCCTACAAAGTGTTTAAGCTCTAACCAACTGAATATCATAAAATCTAGCTAGCATACTAAGAGACAATATCAAGGAGGATGCAAATGTAGTAATTGTTACTATTCTCAAATGTCATTGATCTTCCAGTTGGCTTCGCATTTCATCTCCCATTTTTTTTGCTGTGATAAGATTGATCTTTTTTTAATATATATATATATATATATTTTTTAATTTTTTTAAATTTATTTATTTGACAGAGAGAGACACAGCGAAAGAGGGAACACAAGCAGGGGGAGAGGGAGAGGGAGAAGCAGACTCCCAGCTGAGCAGGGAGCCCGATGCGGGGCTTGATCCCAGGACCCTGGGATCATGACCTGAGCCGAAGGCAGACGCTTAACGACTGAGACACCCAGGCGCCCCAAGACTGATCTTTAACATCCAGGAGTCCTACAACCAAGGTTGGTGGCTCAAAGACAGCTATCTGAGGTAAAACTAGTCCATCCACTGGCTTCCCAAATCAGATCATATTCTGTCTCTTTCCCCTCACTGCTATCCCTTTCAAATATTTTGAACAGACACGGAAAGCCTGAAGGTAGCTATACTGATAGGTCAGACTTGGAGACTGCCTGCCATTTCGGGAACAGGTGCGTTAATGTGTCAGCTACATGAAAGAGGAAAGTGGAAGAGATGTGCTAAGAGAAAGGAAGAGGGGACACCAGTTGGCCCCAGTGAGACAGAAAAAGGAAGAATATAGATTCCTTGGTTCCTGATAGCTTCAGTTTACAGCCTTATTTCCCATGACGTCTGACTATGTTTGATTTTGTGAGATCTTTGCTATCACATGTCCCCACCCCTTTTATTTGAATTAATTAGATTTCTGTTCCTTACTTCCAAAAAGAGAAGAAGCTAAGACAACTGGGGATATACCCCCAGTGACTGCCTGTAGGGCTGGCTTGACCTGTGGTAGACTTAAATAGGAAGCAGCACTTGAAAGGACTTCATGGACCATCTGAGGTCTTGGTTTACAATGTTTTATACTGCTAGTTTACCGGGAACAATGATATGAGTGCCTGGCCTGGAATTAACCTACCCGAAGCGCTTCCTGAAGGCAGATTGGGAGACCCAGGGAGACTGGGGAAGCAAGGAGCACCCAACCAGCTGGAGGCGAGCTTACCCACCTCCATCAGCTACACCATGTTACAATATTCTACCTTTCAGTAAATAGCAGTATTCACTGAAGGGGAGTCAGTTTTCTACTTCTTAGAGATTTAACTTTGATTACTGACAGTTTTAACTTTAGCAGTTACACCAATATGTGACCAGTTTGTCTACATTACTTATTATAAGGTCTAGACTAAGGAATGTGTAATTCCAAAATTGAGAAATCAAGGTCATTTTTTTAGCCAAAAAGAGAAAAAACTCAGAATCATTTCAAATCGGGGCATCAAAATATGTGAAATTCCCCCTCAGATACACAGAATTAAGTGTTCTGAACATGTTAGCACATTTTGAGGTGCTTCATGCTAAATGATTTATTAAGCTGTTTGGGTCATTACTAGATGTCTTTTTGTTTTGTTGTTTTTGGATTTTTTAAAAATTTATTGAGAGAGAGAATGATAGAGAGAGAGCATGAGAGGGGGGAGAGTCAGAGGGAGAAGCAGAATCCTTGCTGAGCAGGGAGCCCGACGTGGGACTCGATCCCAGGACTCTACAATCATGACCTGAGCCGAAGGCAGTCGCTTATTTTTTTGTTGTTGTTATAAAGAATTTATTTATGTATCTGACAGAAACAGAGACAGCGAGAGCAGGAACACAAGCAGGGGGAGTGGGAGAGGGAGAGCAGGCTTCCTGCCGAGGAGGAAGCCCAATGCAGGGCTCAATCCCAGGACCCCAGGATCATGACCCGAGCTGAAGGCAGATGCTTAATGACTGAGCCCCCCAGGCGCCCCCGAAGGCAGTCGCTTAAACAACTGAGCCACCCAGGCGCCCCTGCTTAGGTGTTTTGAACCTTCTCTCCCCCCACAAAAAAAACACATTTTTATTGCTCTATTATTTAATAAGTTTCTGCTTTTCAAATTGCCTTATTCCTAATAGAAGTAGTTAATGCTTAAGAGGAATCCAAATTTAAAACAATATTAATGAAGTGATACATAAATTTTATTTCTAGAACTTATTAAAACTGCTTTAAATCTAAATCACTGCATATTAGAATATTATAATTATTCTTTTTATATGGTTCATATGATATCATCTGATTTAAGGGACATTTCACCAAGACATAATTAACCTACTGAAAAAAAAGTATAGTCGAAATGTAATTACAACATACAGATAATTAAAATAATAAAAATTGAAGAAATCTGAGATATAGACTGAAAATAATCTGGCTTTCCTAATACATCTAATAGTATTTAGAATAATACAACTACAACTTTATTTATTTTTTTTAAAGATTTTATTTATTTATTTGACAGAGAGAGACACAGTGAGAGAGGGAACACAAGCAGGGGAGTGGGAGAGGGAGAAGCAGGCTTCCCGCCGAGCAGGGAGCCCGATGTGGGGCTCGATCCCAGGACCCTGGGATCATGACCTGAGCCGAAGGCAGATGCTTAACGACTGAGCCACCCAGGCACCCCTACAACTACAACTTTAAAAAACCATGGTAGTATTTGGACGGAACAGAATTCACCATTGATATTGTAAGCTTGAAGTAAATACACAGAATATGCTGGTCAGCATGCTCTGTGAATAAGCTATAGGATATAAACAAATCCAGAGATGTATTATCATTAGAAGTTCAACATGGTTAGTCCTACCAAATGGAGTTTGCTTATATCTTGTAAAAAGGAAAGGAGGGGAAAAAGAAGACATTCAGGGTTGTATTTACTTTGTCCCTATAAACTTTATAGTGTATTTCCTATAATGTCCAATTTTGTACTAGGGGTCCTGCTTTGTTCTCTTACATCTACTCCTGAGAACAATCTGAATTGCACTTTTTCTTTTCTTTTTTTTTAAGATTTTTATTAATTTATTAGAGAGAGAGAGAACAAGCGGAGTGGGGCGGCAGGCAGAGGGAGGGGGAGAAGCAGGCTCCCCACAGAGCAGGGAGCCGATGCAGGAATCGATTCCAGGACCCTGGGATCATGACCTGAGCAGAAGGCAGATGCTTAACCAACTGAGCCACCCAGGTGCCCCTGCACTTTGTTTTCTACTTGCAGTTTTGGATTGTCATAATTGCTACAAGGGACCAACTGAAAGCACACATCTGTGATATAAACAGCAGAATAACATTGATTTTATGTTGCTCAACTGTAAGAATAATTCATTAATGCAGTCTTCACCCCACTTGTGTTTATCATATCTTATGGATTTAAGGTAATTTCTGTTGCATGAATTGATGATGCAACTGAAAGCATATTTATTCATCCACTAACTTTTGCAAGGATTATAGGTTATCACCATCTACATCACCCTACATCAATATGATGAAAATCAATAAATACCTATATCCGGAGCCTAAGTAAACTCCTTTTTTAAAAAATTCCATTTTGGGGATGCCTGGAGGCTCAGTTGGTTAAGCCTCTGCCTTGGGCTTGGGTCATGATCTCAGGGTCCTGGGATGGAGTCCTGCATCAGGCTCTCTGCTCAGCGGGGAGCCTGCTTCTCCCTCTCCCTCTGCCACTCCCCCTGCTCTCTCTCTCTCTCTGACAAATAAATAAATAAAATCTTAAAAAATAAATTAAAAACTTCCATTTTTTTCAGCCATTTTTCTCCATTTTGTTCTGAGACATAATAATATTAATACACAATAGCTAACTTTATTTTGAGTTTTTCTATATATCATGTTTTGGTTTTTTTTTAAGATTTTATTTATTTATTTGGCACAGAGAGACACAGCGAGAGAGGGAACACAAGCAGGGGGAGTGGGAGAGGGAAATGTAGGCTTCCTGCAGAGCAGGGAGCCTGATGCAGGGCTCGATCCCAGGACCCTGGGATCATGACCTGAGCTGAAGGCAGACGCTTAACGACTGAGCCATCCAGGCGCTCCCCCCCCCCCATATATCATATTTTAATTAAATTAATCCTTACAAGAAACTTACAAAAACCTTGTAAAAAACCCAAATAGTACCACTTGTAAGAACTCTGACATAATAGGAGAGACACTAACAGAGCTGTAGAACAAAGTAGAATCTCAAATGATGTTGTTTATAGATACAGGTAAATAATCTCAATTTGGCAGGACCAACCATATGGAACTTTACAATGATAATATATCTTTGGTCTTGTTTACATCCTGTAATCATATAGTACGAGGAAGGTGTTTGTATTTAGTACCTCCTTTCATGTAGGGAAGTTACAGATAGCAAGGGGGAGTGCTGGGGTTCAAAACTACACAGTCTGGCTCCCAAATCCTTGCTGTAAATCACTGTATATGTGGCCTCTGTGCCCATGTGGCATAAAGTAAATGCCAGAGCAAAGCAGTCCCCTCTCAAACTGAAGGTATCCGAGCTGTGTGCATCCCAAAGTATACACCTTCACTTGCTGTTGCTCACCAGAGCCAGCTCCCGCAGCAGGCCAGAGGTCCAGGCCCAGGCTTCGAGGTTCTGGTTAAGGTCTTTCCTACTAGCCTTAACCCTACCTTCAGGCTCTTTAGGCCCAGCTGATGAAGAGAGATACCCATCAGGCTCC